TTGTTTGTCCAGTGACTTTTATTATCAATTGAATTCTGATTGTTTCGCATAATAGAATTCCGAGATTGCAGTTCATCCGTATGTCACAACAAACGAATTAATAAACTTGAAAAATTCAAAGCTTTGCAAGTATAGGGTGGCTCCGGTTTGGGGTAAAAAAAAACAATTTTAACTGCTTGTAAAAATCCAAGGAAAATTTAGGTACTTAAAACAAGTAAAAAAGCCTTGAATACCCTCCACCATTTGGTACAAATTTGACAATTTTCAAAAAATATAATCCGTTAAAAATTCTGTTAACGTGGACCTGCATAGGCACTTTTTGTATAAGCTATTACAATATTCAAATGCGAAACGTTCCGGTAAATAATGTCGCTAAAATCATCAAAATACCGAATATCAAGGGGTACCGTTATATGGGGGCTATACGAAGACGTGGACCTGCACAGATAATTTTCTGTCCTAGGCTGTAGTATCCATTTCGAACTTTAAATACCAAATTTGAAATAGTTCAGGTAAATAATGTCTCAAAAATCATCAAAATACCCAATATCGGGAGGTACCGTTATATGAGAGCTATACAAAGACATGGACCTACATGGCTCATTTTCTGTCTTAGGCTGTAGTATCCATTACGAATCTCAAATATCAAATTTGAAACAATTCCGGTAAATAATGTTGCTAAAATCATGAAAAAACCGAATATCGGGGGTACCGCTATGTGGGGGCTATACGAAGCAGTTGATCTACATACCCCATTTTCTGCCTTAGGCTGTAGTATCTATTACGAACTTCAAATACCAAATTTAAAACAATTCCGGTGAATAATGTCGCTAAACTCATCAAAATACCGAATATCGGGAGGTACCGTCATATGGGTGCTATACGAAAACGTGAACCTGCATGGTCCATTTTCTATCTTAGGCTGTAGTATCCATTACGAACTGGAAATACCAATTTTTTCAAACAATGGGGACTATACGAAAACGTGGACCTACGTGGTCCATTTTCAATACCAAAAGTCATGCACACATAATACACATTTGAGTAAATTTTTATCGATTTACTTCATTTCGTTCGGAAGCTAGAGTGATTTCCACAGACGGACGGACATTTCTAAGTCGACATAGAATTTTATGTTACTCAAGAATATATATACTTTGTGGGGTCTAAAATGTATATTTCGAGGTGTTACAAACGCAATGACAAACTTAATATAACCTCCATACTATGGTGGAGGTTATAAAAATTAATAAAAAAAATTCTCAATATTTTCAAACTTATTTCTTTCGGCTTTTGTAAACTAAATAGTTTCGAAAATTTCACTAAATATTAGTAATCCTATAAGAAATAGTAAGCTAAAAACATTCTCCAGATGATACACCCTAAACTATATATGAATGGTATATCCCAATATGTCGGTATCGTTTGTACTGTAAATTAAGGGGCGTATTCATATGACGCCAATTAAATGCTCACATTATTAAATGATTTAAAGACGAAATGTCACAACATTCAAAAAGAATGAAATTTAATAATCGGGACAAATAAATAAATCATTATAAATAATATTAATTATCTGCATAAAGCGATTCTTATTTTCCGAGCGAGATGAGATGCACAACACGAAAAAATAACTACAGGGAAAACTCAATAGATTATGAGAGTATATCTAAAGCATAACAAAGGTATCAGTCGATTTTGCTAAGTTTTGTGGTATTACGAACTTAATGGCTATTCAAAATTTTATGGTATTAGGAAGAGTAGTTCCGACATATTTCATCTTGAAACTTGGTTTTATAATAATAAAAATTGGGATATGTGAAATTTGAAGAGAATCGGATGCTTATTTTCCATTTTATAAAAGGTATAGTTATTCAGAATTTTGATCCGTAGTGGGGAAGTACCAGAAGGAGTGATACACATTTCATCTTCATATCTGGTCTTGAGTTGATAGAAATATGTTTTTGAAAATATTCCGATGCTCATTTCGCGTTTTACGAACTTCATGGCTATTACAAATTTTAACCCGTTGTAGTTGGGAGGGGGTGAGTGGTTACAAGAAGTAGTGGACCGACGTATCCGAATCTAAGCCAGAAATTTTGTTAATGAAACCAGTAAGGAAAAGTAAAAAGTCTGGCGGGCCGACTTTGTGATGCCCTACAACACTATTCATATCTAAAAGAGCTTGCGTAACAAAATAATTTATTTGAAGTACCACCTATCAACACTTGGCTTTAGAGCAGCTATAGTTTGGTTTCACTAAATTTAACGGAGACATTTTAATCCTTTATACCAAATAGCATTGCTATAGAGTACATGATATCACTTCGAGAAGAATTATAAAAAAATATCTATCGTCCGATTTCCACAAAATGGAAACGTACATCCCAAAATTTACTCCATTTGGTCTGATATTAGCCTTTACTTACACAATAAACTCGAAATTGGATTAAGGATATATATGGAAGCTATATCAAAATCTTAGCCAATCGCAATAAAATTTGGTAAAGGTATTTCCGAGCTCTATAAGACATCTGGTACCAAATATCATTGTTGTCGAATGCATATTACGAATGTGGGGGACTTAAACACCAAATCGGATGAAACCTATACATAGGAGCTACAGCTATATCTGAATCGATTTCTTTGATGTACCTGCATTTGGACTTATATTGGCTATTTGGTGAAATGCGCACCAGCCATAGACATGGATAGACAGACTCCAAAATGTCCTAAAACGGATTTTACCCTTTGGCCTTATCAAATGATATATTCCCTCTGAAACCATATTATTGTCGTAGATCTCGTAAAACTTGAAATGGGCATCAAATTTCATTCAAACTCGTCACGCCTCAATACATCTATCAACACAAGATCTACTGTGAAGAAGGAAAATATTGGCCCACTTCTTCTGGCACTTCTCCCACAAAGCGTGAAAATTTTGAATAACAAAAACGATCATAAAATGCAAAATAAGCATCGAAGTATCGTTATATGGGGGCTATAACTATTAGTAAACCCGAATCGAAAATTGTTTTGCAAGGAGAGAACAGACCTACCGAACACCCTAATTGTCAAGTTTCAGCTAATTTGGTTGGAAATTGTTGCAGAAAATTTTAAAATAACGAAAATCGGGAGGTACCATTATATGTGGGCTATACCAATAGTGCACGCGAATCGAAGGAGAGAAGTTACCTATTCAGAATCTCAATTGTCAAGTTTAATCTAATTTGGTTGGAAATTGTGGCAGAAACCTTCAAAATACCGAAAATCGGGGAGACGTGGACCTGCATACGAAATTATTTGTTATAGGCTGTAGCACCCATTACCAAATTTAAATACAAAATTTGAAACAATTCTGATAATGTCACTAAAATCAGAAAAATCAATACCAAACATTGGGTTGTTATATGGGGGCTATACGAAGACGAGGGTCTGCTAACGTAATTTTTATACCCTCCACCATTGTATGTAGGGTATATTAAGCTTGTCATTCCGTTTGTAACACCTTGAAATATACATTTTAGACCCCACAAAATATATTTATTCTTGATCGGCATAAAATTCTATATCGATTTAGCAATGTCCGTCCGTCTATCCGTCTGTGGAAATTACTCTAGATTCCGAACGAAATGAAGTAGGTTGACTTTTGGTATTAAAAATAGGCCATGTAGGTCCACGTTGTGGCCCCCATATAACTGCAACTCCCTATTATCGGTATTTTGGTGACTTAAGCGACCTTATTCACCGGAAATGTTTTAATGTTTGTATTTGAAGTTCGTAATAGATATTACAGCCTATGAAAGAAAATTTACCGTGCAGGTCCACGCCTTCGTATAGCCTTCATATAACGGTACCTCCCGATATTCAGTATTTTGATGATTTTAGCGATATTATTCACCGGAATTGTTTAAAATGTGGTATTTGAAGTTCGTAATAGATACTACAGCCTAAGGCAGATAATGGTATGTGCAGGTCCACGTTGTGGTATAGTCCCCATATAATGGCGCCTCCCGATATTCGGTATTTTGATGTTTATAGCTAAATTATTATGCAATTTTTTTTTTAATTTTTCGCATATGACTATTGTAATGACCTATGACAAAAGTTGCCGATGCAGTTCAACGTTGTCGTATAGACCCTAATATAACGGCTACATTCGGTATTTTTAAGATTTTAACAGAATTTTTAACGGATTTTATTTTTTGAAAATTGCCAAATTTGTTTCAATTGGTGGAGGGTATTAAAACTACTTCTCGGCCGAACTTACAGTTATTTAATTTTTTTGGTGTTAGGTTATAGTATCCAATAAGGTCTTCAAATGCAAAATTTCAAACAATTTCGGTGAATATTGTACCTAAGATCGTCAAATACCGAATATTGGGAGGTACTGTTGTATGGGGGCTATACGATATCGTATAGGGGTAAACTCACTCAGAAGGAACTCCTTGTGTAGATTTTCAGACAACTTCATTGAAAAATTTGGCTACAGTCATCAAAATACCGAATACCGGGGGTACCGTTGTATGGGCGCTATATGATGTCCTGGATCGATATAGCCCATCTTCGAACTTGACCTGGCTGCAGACAAAAGACTGATCTGTGCAAAATTTTAGCTTCCTATCTTTATTCGTTTTGACTCTAGCGTGATTACAATAGAAGGACGGACGGACAGGTCTAAATCGCACGTCTGAATCGAATTTAATGCGTTTCACGAATATATATACCTTGTTAGGTCTACAGTTATTATTTCGATGAGTTACAAACGGAAGGACGAACTTAAAATACCTTCCATACCATGTATGGTGAAGGGTATAAAAACTCTCAGTTAATTTAATATTTAGCCAAAAAATTGAGAATATAGAGCTTACAAAATTCTGTAATCAGAACATGTGCAAACATTTCTGATCCCTCATTATTTAATGTTTTATATAATATTCTAATAGTATTTGTATAAATTAAAAATCTCTAATATTATCATAATCCCTATTTATTTACAGGTCACGCTCTGCCACATCAATGAAAGCACACAACCACAATTACAAAACTCAACAATGAAATCAAATTAACAAATCAAAATAGAAACCAAAGAAGACACAAATGGAATTGAGTGGAATTGAAACCTGAAAACCAATTATTGTGATATACCTATTTCCCCCCTAAGTTAAACTAGTTGCAGATTTTTTTTGCTACTCTTTATTTTCGTCACAACTCAAACTACCTCAGCCAACATATCCTCTGGGAACTTTTCACACGTCTACACGCCTAGAACTCTAGAACTCACAACAAAAACTCTATCAAAATGGTACATGGAGCCCCTGCCAAGAAGAAGACCAATGGTGCAACCAACAACAATGACACACAACAATACGAAATGGAATTGGAGGAGACACAACAGCCCGTGCCACCCGATGGTGGTTGGGGTTGGATGGTGGTGTTCGGTTCCTTTATGATACACATTATCAGTGAGTAGAACAAGTATTGTGCATTTTTTTGTGTTGTTGTTTTTATTTAAAAATGCATTAGAGTATTGTTTTTTATTTTTTTTATAATTCTTAGAAAAACAAAGTTATTCTATTTTTATACAAAAATAAGCTGGAGAAATGAAAACAAAAGTATTGGAAATCACTATTGTTATGCATTTCCATTTCGATGCATTTCATAATCAGCCTGTCCAGCGATGCATGAACTATTTACATAAGCAGCTATTTCTGCTGTAAGATGTCAGGTCTTATCTGTCTTAAAGGAGGGTAATTTACAAACTTTTGTGTAGGAAGTGTATTTTTGTAGTATTTGTATTGTTCAACACGTGTAAATCAAACATGTGCTGGATTAGACTTCTTCAGACTGACATTTTGATTATGTGAATTATGGGGTTTTACTTGCGGGAAAAATTACGTCAAGTCAATAATATTTATACCCTACACCACAAGGTGGCCAGGGTATTATGTCTTTGTGCATTTGTTTGTAACAGGCAGAAGGAAACGAGATAGACCCATAGTTCCTTTTGATGATCTGCATAGAATCACATTCTGAGTCGATTTATGCATGTCCGTCCGTCCGTCTGTCCATGTATTTTTGTAAACAAAGTACAGGTCGCATTTATTGCCCGATCCAGATGAAATTTTGCAAACTACATTTGTTTGGCCCAAGGACGAACCCTATTGAAATTGGAGATAATCGGTCAAAATTTAGATATAGCTCCCATATACATCTTCATCCGATTTGCCTTTTATTGTGCACCAAACGTCTAATATTTGTCCAAATGGGATGGAATTTGGCACTTACGACCGAATTGAGTCAAGAAACTAGTATGTCAAATTTGGTGAAGATCGGTTCAGATATAGCTATAGCTTCCATATATATTATTCATCCGATTTGTTATATTTGTTACCCACAACCGTAATATTCACTCCGTAACAACGATATTCAGGGAAATATATTAAATACAGCTCAGAAATATCTTTGCCAAATTTTATCGAGATCGGTTCAGATTTGGATATAGCTCCCATCTATATCTTTATCCGATTTCAAATTAATTGTGCACCAAATGGGCAATACAATTCCGAATTTAAAAGATACAAATGCTTCGGCTTATTTAGTCCTTTGAACTTTAAATTATAATTATAATCATAGCGTGTATGATTGAATTCTCCCATAAAAACTTTTAATTGTTATGTGGAGCTCTACTTAATTAGCAAAGTGGTGTAGGGTATCATAAAGTCGGCCCCGCCCGACTTGAAGACTTTCTTTACTGGTTTTTAACATGTGCCTTACCTAATAATTTTAATATTAACAAGTAAAACAGCTGTAATTTCGGCCGGGCCGAACTTTGAATACCCTCCACCATTTGGAACGAATTTGGCAAATCTCAAAAACAATCTTAAAAATACCGAATGTTGCTGTTACATTATGGTCTATACGACGACATGGACCTGCATGGGCAACTTTTGTCATAAGCCATTACAATATTCAAATGCGAAACTAAAAAAAATCGGTGAATAATGTAGCCAAAATCATCAAAATACCGAATATCGTGAACCGTGAACCTTCACAGACAAATTTTCTGTCATAGGCCGTAGTATCCACTACGAATATCAAATACCAAATTTGAAAGAATTCCGGTGAATAATGTAGCTAAAATCAACAAAGTACCGAATATCGCGATGTACTGTTATATGGGGACTACACGAAGACATGGACCTGCAGAGACAATTTTCTGTCATAGACTGTAGTATTCATTCCAAACTTCAAATTTGAAACAATTCCGGTGAATATTGTCGCAAAGATCATCAAAATAGCGAATATCGGAAGGTACCGTTATATGGGGGCTATACCAAAAAGTGGACCTACATGGCCCATTTTCAATACCAAAATTCCTGCAGACATAATACACATTTGAGTAAAATTTTATCAACGTACTTCAATTCGTTCGGAAGCTAGAGTGATTTCCACAGACAGACAGACGGATAGACAGACAGATGGACGGACATCGCTAAATCGAAATAGAAATTTAAGATGATCAAGAATATATACACTTTATGGGGTCTAAAATGTATATTTCGAGGTGTTACAAACGGGATGAAAAACTTAATATACCCTCCATACTATGGTGGAGGGTATAAAAACAATTCATTTTAAAATTTTAAATAATTTGATATACGATGGGAGGTGTGTGAAAACGTGGACTTGGTTTTTTTTTTTGAAAATTCGTACTAAAAGTATTCGAAGTATTCGTATTTTAGTACCTAAATATGCTAAATAACAAGATAGAAGGTATCAGTCGGTTTTGCCGAAAGATGTATACCCTTATCCAATGTTCGATTGTTTGAATATAATTTGACTTCTATTATGATTATTAAAATTGTTGACCCTCTATGGAGTAGGCTTTAAAGGAATAGGCCAATAGGGTTCATTTTATATCAGACGGAACTAAATATGATATAAATATTGTGACGTGCCAGGTTTAGACTATATTGGTACCTTCCTTCACTTTGTATGAGATATGTTATAATTTTTAGAAAATGTTAAAATGTGCGTGAGATATAGTCGAACGATATATTCCATTTCCTTACTTCACCTAATACAGATAACAAGGTAAAAAGTATCAGTCGTTTCTGCCGACAGACGTATACCCTTAGCCAATGTTCGATTATTTAATATATTCAATATAAGTATTGAAAATTGTGACCCTTTGTGGGTGAGGTACCAGACGGGGTTCGCAACTATATATCATTGTCACAACAGATCTTGTGTTATCAAAAATGTGTGCGTGTGAAATTTGAAGAGAGTTGAATGCATATTTGGCTTGAACCCTGTGTGGGGGAGGTATCAGAAGAAATGGTCCGATCTTGTGTTGATGAAAATATTGAGAAGTCCCAAGTCTGAATGGAATCGGATGTTAATTTCGAGTTCTATGAGCTTCATGAATATTCAAAATGTTGACCCTTTGTGGGGGAGGTACCAGAAGAAGTGGGCAGACATATCCTTCACAACATATCTTGTTTTAGTAATGGAATGTGCGAAATATAAAGGGAATCTGATGCTTATTTCGGATTTTATAAACGTTTTGGTTATTCAAAACTTTGACCCTTTGTGGGTGAGGTACCAGAAGGAATGGTCCGATCTCTACCATCTTTATAAGAGATCCTGTGTTGATAGAAATATTGAGATGTACCAAGTCTGAATGGAAACGGATGTTAATTTCGTGTTTTAAGAGCTTCGCGGATGTTCAAAATGTTGATCCTTTGTGGGGGAGGTACCAGAAGGAGTGGGCCGATATATCCTTTCTTAACACCAGACCTAGGATTAATAAAAATATTGAGATTTGTGTAATTTGAAGATAATCGAACTCTAACATCACATTTTATGAGGGTTATAATTATTCCTAATTTTGACTCCTTGTGGGGGAGGTACATGATGGAGTGGACCAATATTATCCATTTTGGCACCGGACGTAGAACTGACACAAATATTAGGATTTGCAAAATTAAATTATTGCTTCCCTTTCTGTGCCAAAAAAAATATGTCTCTTTGAAAATTTCGACCATTTGTGAGGGAGGTACCAGAAGGAGTGGACCATCTAAACACCAGACCTTGGGTCAATATAAATATTGGGATATGTGAAATTTGAAGACAATCGGATTCTTACATCACATTTTATGAGAGTTATAATTATTTAAAATTTGCAAAGTTGGAGCAAAATCGGATTATAGTTTCTCTGGCTGTGCAAAAAATATATTTTTAGAAAATTTCGACATTTTGTGGGAGAGGTACCAGGAGGAGTGGACCGACATTGTCCTTCTCCGAACTTGATCTAAGTTTTACAAAAATATTACGATGTACCAAGTTTGGACCAAATCTGATTCTCCCTTCGAGAGTTATCGTGCGCACTAGCCCGACGGACACCGCTAGATCGACTCCAAATGTCCTGAAACGGATTTGGTCCAAAGAGACCTAGGGTCTAAAACCGTTATTTCGGCTAGGCACGTTTTGACCGTATCAAATGATATATACCCTCTCTAGCCATATGGCTGAGGGTATAAAAAACAGATACGGGTTGCCCATATTCGACGGACCCATCTGGCAACGCCATAACTTTTGACAGAGATGTCACATCGCTTAATGACATACCGCGTTTGAAGCGTCAGTCCAAGCAGATTTTTACCATGAACCAATACACGCCACGAGAGCGCTCTGAAATAGTTGAAATTTACATTAACCAGTTGAAATTTACATTTATACGAAACATTTTCGACTGGTAAGGCTGTTTCTAATCCGAAGAGGCCATATAAAAGTCGACCAAGGCGATCGGCCGAGAATATCGCTGCCGTACGAGCCAGTGTTGAGAGGTCCCCAAGAACATCCCAAAAACGCCGTTCTCAGCAGTTGGGCATGGCTCGGTCCACTTTACAACGGATTATTCGCATTGATTTGCATTTGTTCCCGTTAATTGACGCAAAGAATGTTGCCTGCGGACAAGCCTCTTCGATTGGAATGGACCCAAAGGTCTGTCGAATTTGGGCAACCCTGTACAAATCAATTATGATCGGGGAAGTCCAACTTTTAACATCTGCTTGGAATAATCTAATAGTAATATTACATTTACCCTCAACATATGTATAGGACAGTAGAGGGATATCTTAACATTTTTTTGTATATATATTTTGAATATTTTCCAACAATTTCCATTCCGCCTTCGTTTTATGCTTCACGCGAAAATTGTGCGCCAAAACTGAACTTTTCGATGGACAAAGTTCAATATGAAATCATAAATTTTTCATTGATAATCACAAGACTTGTGAATGGCAGCAAAGCATAGGTCTGCGTCGATAATTGGCAAACAAGTTCACCACGAATTAACATCATAAAATCAGAAGCAGAAGAACGGCCAGAACATGCATGCGTATATTTATCGGCAATCGATGAATGAGTCAATGATTTATGTCTTTTTTCGTTCATTGTT